TGTTCATCCATGAACAGAGAAAACAGACAAACTGAGAATAAGAACAGACCACACAGACTGCCCCAGGGCAGATCACAAAAAATTAGAACTGTCGATAAACTGTCCCATTTTTAAGGACAGAGATTTAATACCCTGACCCGGTTGTATGCATCAGTGTGTGATGGTCTTACATAAAGGAAGTTCCTCATTAGGTTCAGACAAATGAATTAAAACCATCCCCACCCCAAATATCTACTAAGGTGTTAGAAAAAAGAGTACTGTTCATTAACTAGCTCTTCACACAATCAAGGCAAGAAAAAACGATCACTTTCTCTTCTCTTACATAAGTAAAAAAATTCCCTTCTTTCCTTTTTTTAAAACTCTACTATTAGATTTGAAATAATTTGTTTGTAATATGAACCCTCAATCATTTTTCTATGTTCCCCCTCATTATAAAGGTCAAAATAAAGGCCAAACAAAATGAAGCAGCACTGATTACTTCCTTTAAGAAACTCAACTCTTTAAAGGTATTCTGTAACTTAAGAATTCGTATGACTAATTTTGAAATTAGAGACCAGCAACACATCAAAGTGGTTTCTTTGTAAAAATAAAGACCTTTGTTCGTAACAGACTTATCTAGACACTGAATACCTTCTCTTTTGTCACAAAAACACTTTATTTTGCTTCATTTTTATCAGAACTGTGACATTTTCTTCTGCCTTATGTGCCCTTTTCCCAAGGCATTGAGTTTGTGCTGACAGGCATCTAGGGAGCTCATCTGGAATCACAGCCTTTTTTTCTGAAACATTAGGTGCTGTATTTCAATGACCCAGGCCAATTTAGCTCAGATGTTAATTCAATCAAAGGGCTCCAGTTGTTTTTTTTTTTCAGAGCCTCTAATAAATCTTCAAGTGAGCTACACAGTCAGAATGGAAGTTTCCTGACTCCTTGAGCCTATAAATTAATTTCCCCATTTCCAAATGGTTCAATGCTTCCTTAACAACCTTCCACCTCCTCCTCTCCCTGCTCCACCTTCCTCACCTCCTCTCACACACCCAGCAAACCTCTTTCTTCCCTTTCCATCAGTGGTGCTATTTCACTGACCCCAGTCCTGCTTCTATTCTCTGCTGTCTCTTCCACTTTCCTTTGCCTCTTTACTATTATTTTCCTCTTGCTTTTTTTTCTTTTTCATATTTTTTCATTATAGGTTATCACAGGATATTGAATATAGTTCTCTGTCCTATACAGTATGAAATTGTCATTTACCTATTTTATATATAGTAGTTAGTAACTGCAAATCTCAAACTCCCAATTTATCCCTTCCTTCCCCTTTCTCCCACTGGTAACCATAAGTTTGTTTTCTATGTCTGTGAGTCTGTTTCTGTTTTATAAATAAGTTCATTTGTCTTTTATTAGATTCCACATATAAGTGATATCATATGGTATTTTTCTTTCTCTTTCTGGCTTACTTCACTAAGAATGACAATCTTCAGGTCCATCTATGTTGCTGCAAATTACATTATTTATTTATTTATTTATTCTTTTTATGGCTGAGTAGTATTCTATTGTATAAATATACCACAACTTCTTTATCCAGTCATCTGTTGATGGACATTTAGGTTGTTTCCATGTCTTGACCATTGTAAATAGTGCTGCTATGAACATCGGAGTGCATGTATCTTTCTGAATTAAAGTTCCCTCTGGATATATGGCTAGGAGTAGGATTGCTGGATCACACATTAAGTCTATTTTTAGTCTTTTGTGGAGTCTCCATACTGTTTTCCATAACAACTGTACCAAACTACATTCCCCAAAACAATGCAGGAAGGTTCCCTTTTCTCCACACCCTCTCCAGCATTTATCGTTTGTGGACTTTTTAATGACAAGCAATCCCCTTGCTTCTTTATGATTTTCTTTTAGATTCTGTCGCTAACTATACTTTGCAGTGTCTATGAGGAACAGCTTTTTGTTGATTTTATTCTGTCATTATTATTATTAACACCACCAATCAATGAGAATGTTGTTTCTTTGGCTAGCTAATCCATGAAATAAAATCCCAGTGAAGCAACTAGAATCCACTGTCCCACTTTTCTGAGCCCTTCTTCCTCACTCTTACTAGCAGCTTAGAGAGTACTTCTGTGCTCCCAAAGACCGTGTGTAGATTTTGGGATTAGGGAGAAACAAATACCCTTCCCCGTGTCTAAGGTTGTCAAATTCTGTCCTTCAGAAAGTGAAGGGTCTACACACATAGTCATAACAGCTTAGTGTTCACATTCTACCTACTCCTTAGAAGCCTGCAACTTGAGCCAAACTGTACTGGAAAAACAAAAACTGTCTTTCATAAAAAGGAATTATTTAAGGTGACTCAATGAATCTCTGCCAAGGATCAACACTTTTACATACATAGTTATAAGATACCGTATAGTGTGACCGGCCCTTTATAAAACACTATCATTAACTTTGCAAGTGAGGAAATTATGTCATTTGCATTTTAAAAGAAAAACATGCTCCATGTGTTATAAATTATATACACAAAAACTAGAACTTCATTAGTTTAAATGCTAGCTCTATAGCAATTTCCATAGTTTCATATAAAATGCTTGCTTTTCCAGTTAATAATTTAAGTTATAGGAAGATAAATTTTAACTTGGTGTTATATTAGATATTTGCCTTAAAACTTTTTTTTATTTTGAAATGAGTTACAGTGGAAATTCACTTTTAAAAATTATCCTGAAATAATTTCAAACATATAGGAAAGTTGCAGGACACAGTTGTACAAAGGGCTTCTATTTCACCTTCACCCAGATTTCTCAACGGTTAACATTTTAGCACATTTGTTCCCTCTCTCCTAGTAACCCCGCTGTCAACACGCACGTGCGTGCACCCATTATCATAGGTTGTTTTCTGAACCATTTGAGAGCAAGCTGCAGGTATGAGGCCCTGTCACTCCTAAACACTCCAGCTCATGTTTCCTGAAAACAAGAACTCTGGCCAACATAATCACCACATAAGCTTCAAAATCAGAAAATCAATTTAATGGAACAGTACTATCCAATCCACAGACCCTATTCAAGTGTAACCAATTGTGCCAACAATGTAACTCTTTCCTATCGGGTCCAGTGCAGGAACATGTACTGCATTAGTTGTCATATCTCTTCCATCTCTTTCAATCTGAAATAGTTCCTCCGTTTTATTTTCTGTCATTCATGGCCTGGGCACTTCTAAAAATGCAGGATTTTCATTCTGTAAGATGGCCCTGAGTCTTGGTCTATACAGTATTTCCTTAGGGCCAAACTCACACCATGAACTCTTAGCCAGAATCCCCCAGAAGTGATGCTGAGCTCTTCCAGCACAACACTCAGGAGGCACACAATGTCAATTTGTGCCACCTGGTCAAGTTGATGTTTACTGTGAAAATAACATTTTCCAGTTTGTAGACAATTGAGTAGAAAGGGGAAGGGATATTCTTAGATTACGACAATATCTTGTTCCTTGTAGACCCTCCACCCACCCGCTTTCGTTTTGTTTTGTTTTGTTTTATACATTCTGCACATTTATTCCAACGTGAAAGGGATATATAATTTTAAACATTTTTAAAGTTTTCATGCATAAATACTACACTCATGTGTTTCAAAAAGCAGAAACTAAAAACAGGTGCATTGAAAAGCTTCCTTTGCATTTTTATCCTCCATCAGCCCACATCCCACATCCCAACATCACCTCTCATAGGTAGAGTCTGTCCTTAATTTTTCATTTTCCTTACTGGTATTCTTTATACGTATACATGTAACTATGCATATCGTTATTTTTTCTTCCTTTTCACACAAAAGATAGCGTAATTATTTACTCATTGTTTTGCATTTACACTTTTCTCTTGGTATAGTTTGGATATTTCAAATTGCACTTTCAATTCTGTACACTGTCAGAGCTTATTTTTAAATGAGTTGGTCCTGCCAGCCAGGAGTTGACTCTGCAGACTTGTTAACCATTGTACAAAGTATAGGTTTTTCCAACCCAAGGAAGGAGGTTCCACTTACCAGCTTTAATATCCTTTGATGACTCCTGCGTAAATCAACCACCACCCTGCTGGTTGACAAAAGGTGATTTTTCTATTTATATAATTCCTTCTGCAGATATTAGTACGCATTCTACGCTAAGGAAGAGATTTTTCTTCTCTCTTGTGTATTTAGTTATTCATTTATTATCAATATGGACTTATGGGTCCCTATTTTGTTCAATGGGTTACAACTGATTATGATCATTATTCATTCTGATGCTAAAATTGTCCCAGATTTTGGCCAGCGGGAGCCACTTCAAGCTGGCTCCTCTGTCCCTTTGACATGCTAACATCATTTGTTAAACACTTCCTTACTTTTTGGCACAGTAAGATGGCCCAGGCTCATCCTGTACTTTTCCTGCTTCAAGCCTGAATCAGCCCAGCTTTTAAGAAGCATTGATTCCTTTTAGGGAAGTGTGGTATTTAGAAACCAATGTCTCAGCACTTGGTATGATCACTGCCCATGGGAGTGTCATAGTTTTTAGGTCCTCTCAGGTGACAGAGCTAGAAAATATGTGCATGTACACACACACACACACACACACACACACACACAGACACACACACACTCTGTATCTACTACTATATGTTTTTATATATATTGAAAAAAACAAGTTCATATCAATTTCTCTAATTCCAATCTAACACCTCAGGGTTCTTCCTCTCCTTCCTTCTCTCTGTGTTTATGAATTCCTTCTCCAAATATTCACCCATCTACTCAATTGGTTTACTCATTTGCTCAATGTAATCAGTCTCCCAGTCACACCAACAACCTCCATGTTTACTCCCCGTCTCTAGCATGCCAGTGCCGCCACGCCTGGAAAAGAAGAGAAGAAAAGACAAGAGAAAGGAAGAAAGATGGAGAGAGAAAAGTAGGAAAGAAGACTAAGGGAGAGAAGAGAAGAAGGGAAAAGAGACAAGAAGAGAAAATGAGAAAGCTACAGAAAGTGAAGCAGATACTCACTTTTAAAACACCTTCCACAGCCATCTTCCCTTCATGTCCTAGTAAAATAGTGTATGGGTAAAGCCACTGGATGGCATGTTTCATTGACATCATAGGAAAGGAGTCCTGTTTAGGAGCAAAAATTTATAGGAATGAGGAACATCTAAAATACTCACAGAAAATTTAGCTGACATGCCCATATGACATTGAAATTGCCTTATAAACAATAACAAATAGGTTTCTCGTATTTTCCAGAAGTCTATAAAAGCAAATATTCATTATTCCCTCTTCTCTTCCTGATCCGCACCCTTTCCCTTGTAAACTCACCCACTCCCATCCTTCAGCTGCCATATATGTGTTGATGGCTCCCTCGTCTCTGTCTCTAGTCCTGACTTCTTTCTTGAGCTCCAGGCTTAAACTCTCAATTGCCCAATAGATGTGACTCTGTGCATGTCCCATAGACTCCCATTCAGCATGTCTGAAACTATATGTTTGAACACATATCCCTACCCTACTCATCCCAAAGTACCTTCTTTTTTTCCTTTTATTCCAAATCTGAGTTAATCTCATCCACATACACCTAGCTTCACAGTTAAAACTACGAAGTTAGAAAGTGTTCATTATCCTCAAATCCTTTCCCCAAATTTCTTTCCCGATCCTGTTCACCCTACTTTAAAAAGTCTATTAACAAGGACAATTAGGGAAATTTCAATATGGACAATTAGATGACATTATAGAATTATTCTTAACATGCTGAAGGGTGAGATAATGGGTGTTCTGATTATGTAGAAGAATGTTCTAATTCTTAGAAGTTGCATACTGAAGTACTTAAGAAAATTGACTACAATTTACTTTTAAAATTGTTCAAAAACAAAAAGGAGAAACTGCAAGCAAATGTGGCATTATGTTTAAAACTGGTGATTCTAGTTAAAAGGATTATGGATTTATGATTTACTATTTTTGAATTTTTTTTTTTAGATTTGAGAAATGTCAAAGTAAATGTTCTGAGCAAAGCCAAAAAGAATGAAAAGTAGAAGACATGATAAACAGGGAGGAAAATCGCTGTTCCAGATGCCTAGAACAGTGTGAACAGTACCTGGGAAACCTAACCCACTGACTCTCAGGAAACATAAGATAAAAAGCAACAAAAGATTAAAAATAAGTCTCCTGTCTCGGTGGTATGGCTACTACCTCGGATTATGCTCTCTTCAGCAGAGTCTCCTATCTGCTCCCTGCGATCCACGCACTCCCCATTCCATCTTGCTGCCAGCAGAGGTGTCTTCCTCCAACATCTATCTGACTGCCACCGAGCCCACCTACTTAAAAATGTCTGATGGGCCACTTCTCCCACACTGTGGAAACCAGACAACTTCATTCACCGTGTAAACATTTCACAGTAAGGTCCTAACCTTTCTCTTCACCATACATGCTTGCTCTGGTGATATTAATCTATTCTCATTCTCTAAACACACCAGGCCCTTTGGTGATTTAACACCTTTGCCCATGCTGTTGGCTTGGAGGGCCTTCCCATCACTCCGGACACCAGTGCATGACCTTGGTGAAAGTAGTGGGCAATATCTGTGCTCCACTGAATCCCTTCATCATTTTTTCTCCTTCCTGAGCCTCCCTGCTTTCCCTCGTAACAGCGAGCTGCTGCAGGTCTTTTAAAGAAAACTGCCCTTGAACTCCTGCAGGGAGCTTTGCTCACAGGATGAGAGAGCAGCTAGTGCCTGGGAATGTGTGCCCCCTTGGGACGACCGCTAACCGGTGACTGACGTTACTGGTGTGTGAAAGCCCCAGCTCCCCTTCCTCAGGTTGGGGCAAGTTTGAGGCAGAACTCACACTGCAGCAGACCTCTGCGTGACCAGGTGGAAGTCCTCCTTCCCTCGGTGGAACTTTGACCTGAGTTGCATGTCTCCCTTTCCCCCTCCCAAGACTGTCAGCTCTTTAAAGGCTGGCCTCTGGCACGTTGCTGGTTTATGCACAGTTTACTGGGCTGCACAGCAAATTAATCTCAGGCCTTGCAATATTTATAGGAGCATATGACAACACAGACTGAAGTGATTAATCTCCAACGATTGACTTCTGAATTTTCTTTGCCACACTGGGGTACACCAGTCATTATTTTATACGTACCAGGACTTGAACTGCAGCTGGTAGACTATCTAAAGGAAAATCTGGAAGTCCAAGAGTAGAAGATTCTTGGGAACAGAGAGTGGTGGCAAAGGACAAGAGCTGAGAAACTCTAGGGGTAAAAAGAAGGGATGTTACATTTTATTCTAATAGTTTTAATAGGCAAAATCTGTTCAACAGAAAACAGCATGGCCAATTTAATTAATCCAAAAAGTTGACATTCACTATTAAATTTTTAAGGAATAACAGTTCCATATTATAATATTCCATTTAAAACCCAGAAGCTGATTAGGTACACAGATATATTTCTTAAATCTGTCATAATATGTGAGGTTTTTCACAATCTGGCCCCAAACCACCCTGCCAGCTTCACCTCCTTTCTTAATCTGAACCCAAACTCTAGCCATCGATAGCTTTTCATAGCCCCAAGAACAAGGCTCTCATTTCTAGAGCTTTAAAACAAAAAAGTCTTAGAATTCCTTAATTCCATTCTCTATCTGTCAAAATCCTACTCATTTTTTTTAGGACCCACTTCAAATGCCAAAGCCTTTGTGAAACCCTCGTAAAGTCGCAACCACAATATCCCCCAGTACTCTGAAATTCTGGCCCTTGCTATACTGTGCTAAACTAAGGTATTTATACATCTGTCTTTAAACTCGACTAGATCTTGAGTTTCTTGCCATCAGAGATCATGTCTTATCAACTTTATCAGAAGCATGTACCACAGCTTCTAAAATATTCTTCAAATGGTTGTTCAATGAATGAATTAATGACAATCAATGAATGGGCAAAAAAATTCAGTATTAAGTGTCCAGATATTTATATATATATAGTTACATAAATATTTTGAATTGAAGTCTAGTCAGTTTACAATGTTGTATCTATTTCTGGTGTACAGCATAATACTTCAGTCATACATGAACATATATATATTCCTTTTCCTATTCCTTTTCACCATAGTTACAGATATTTATCTATATTTACACAAGTATATATATATCCACAAATATATGTGTGTGCATGTGTATGTGGGTGTATATATATATACACATATATATATATGTGAAATACTTACTTCTCAGCAGAAACATGGGTGCCAACTGAATATAACAGTTTAAGTTGGTCCTAAAGTAACATAGGAACATATCAAATTGATTAGTAAGAAATGTAATAGATTAAATGCAAATGTTATACAGACACAATTCAACCTTTTAATTAAGCAGATATTAAGTAATTAATAGCAAAAAAATCTTTTCATGATGCATGTCTTCTAAAGGAAAAGTTACCCTTTTTAAAAATCTTTCAGACCGATAATACCACAATAACTTTTCTCCCTAGTTTCCAGAGATTCTCTTTACTTTTATACCCTTTTTTCTTTCCATTAACTACTGAAGGTCTGGGACATCTACTAACATAGTAACATTTTTATAGTAATTGAATTAATTATAAATAGGAAAATTTTTAAAAGATAAATCATCCTTAAGTTGGAGAAAGAAGCTGGGGGAGAGGGTTTAGAGGTACAAACTCTTATGTATAAAATAAATAAGCTACAAGCACAGGGAATATAGGCAATATTTTAAGATAACTTTAAATAGAGTATAATCTATAGAAATATTGAATCACTATGTTATACACCTGAAATGAGTATTATAAATCAACTATACTTCAATTAAAAAAATTAAAACTTAAAAATAAAATAAATTATCCTTGTACGTACTTACCTTGAAGGGTAGATAATAAATATCTCTGGCTTGAAATCGAGAACGGAGAGGGGGGTCTAATGGATTCCCTGAGTATCGAGGCACTGGCAAGCCCAAAGCAATCACTCGGAAATTTTCACTAACTCGGACAATTTTCCAAGCATCCAATTCTGTTTTGGAATGATCCTAAAAGAGTAAGAGATCAAAAATTACAGCATAATGATACAGATCACAATTTCAAGAGCAAGGCTAAGGAATTCAGGCCCTAACTGCTGAGAAAACTGTATTTGAGAACCCTCTGGAAGCCAAACTGTCAAGGAAAGGAGCAACGTGAAATTAGGAACAGGATACCAGGGAAGGCTCACAAAATGAAGGCTGGTGTTTGAAAGGAGAAGCAGCTAATGAATGCATCGAGAAACAAAGGTAATGTGGGTCAGATCTCTAAGCTCTAGTTAGTAACACAAAGGAACAGTCAGGAGGGTAAGGAAAATACACCGGCTCAGAGAGAAGAGAGAAGTTGTAAAAAGGTAGTTGTAGAGGCGCAGACCACCCGCACAGCAGAGACTGCCCAGAGACCTTCAATACATAGCTATGTTTATGGATGTATTTCTACCGAGGCATACCCATAGTGATAAATAACATTCCTTGAAATTTTAACACATGGTAAACAGTTTCCATGAATTTTTCTCATTTAATTTTTTACCAGAATCCAAATATAAATTTAATTCCTTTTTATGGGTAGACAAACTGACGTTCAAGGGAATTATATAACTTGCCCACATTTCTGCAACTAGTATATGGTGGAGCTGAGACTGGAAACAGCACAGATTGTGGAGTCACGAATCCTGGCTCTAGTGCTTGGTGCACACTCTAGCTAAGTGACCAAAAGCATGTTATTATCCCTTCTGAGCCTCAACTTTCTCACCTATAAAATGGGAATAATATCACCGACATGATTACAGCTGTTATGAAAATGAAATGGGATAATGCATGTGGAAGTAACTGCTCCATGGCAGTCACCTGTTAAATGTCACACTTTCCTTCTCTGCCTGACCCTTTCAATGGTTCTTCACCATCCTCAGCTGTAGGATCCAAGGTGCTTACAAAGTTTACATGAATGTGCACATTCTGAGAGACAGGGCCTCAGCTTTCAGCAGATCTTCAAAGGGTGTGGCTCATGTGCAGAATAGAAATGTTTAACATGACACTGAAGGCCTTTCCTGGCAGATTCATGTCTGGTTCTCCAAGTCTCAGCATCCACTGCACACTCATCTCCTCATCCACTTTCCATGACCCTGTGCTTCAGTTCCATCTTAACAACCATGGCTCTCCAGACACATCATGCAGCTTCACCAACCCTGTTCAACTTGCTTTGAACACCTTTTTCACTTTGTACAGTAGAAACACAAGTATCATCAAAGCTCAGTACAAACAACATCTCCAACAAAACGGACCCCTCTCTAATGTCCTCCCCCCATCAGAACCACTACTGTGCCCCTCTACTATGTCCTACACAAGCTTCTAATCATTACACGTTTGTGCACTGACTTCTGTACATGACTGTCTCATGCTGGAGTCAAGCTCTTAAGAGGACTTATTACCTCTAACACATAACAGGTCAAATGTCTGTTGAACAACTGCATGAAATAGTTTTAAAAAACATAATCAACAATTATTTGAAGCATAACCCAAATCACAAATCCTACATTTAATTAATAGCACTGATATCGTAACACTATGTCACGTGCACTAGAAAACAAAATCTGGATCTAGCCCTGTCTGAGAAACCAAGAGTACAATCTTCAGAGACCTGAATATTTCTATTTTCTAATTACCTGAAAATGATAATCAGAATATAAATAAGCTTTATACAAACAGATTGTATGGAAATCTGTTTCCATAACAAAGTTCTACTACAATCACTTCTATGAAAGCATTAAAATTTGAGATATTCAAATTAAGCATGTTGAATCTAGACAGAAATAAAGAGGACTCAAATTACAATGCTGAAATCCTGTTATCCCAGAAACTGTCTTAAGTGGTGACGCTTTGTGAAGGGAACGTGCCTGTATACTGTGAGGGTCTCACAAGACAGATTCTATAAACACAAAAATCACATTTACTGATAAAAATTACGTATTTCTACTGATATTTACCTCGAGAAAAAAACAATGTAGTACCTCCTTCTCACTCGATAATAATGAGCACTGCTTGTATACTAAATCTCTTTCAGCCCCACAGCCCATATTTCTATCCAACGTAATGTAGATAAATCTGCACAGAGTTCTACTACACAATAAAGAATATGTCAAACATTTTATTACTGTACTTAATAATAAGACCTGAAAGTCGAAATCACTCCTCGGTCCTTGGTCTGCAGAACAAACACTGTGTGAGCAGGCATGAAAACAACATGAATTTCATTTCACATCTTTATCAGAGCTCTTGGTTGGCCAGGCGTGTTGTCAGTGAATAGCAATATTTTGAAAGGAAACTTTCTGTCTCAGCAGTAGGTCTCAACAGTAGGTCTCAACAGTGGGCTTAACAGTAAACCATGCTACAAACACATGCACTGCCATCCAGGCCCTATTCCATTTCTAGAGCACAGGAAGAGTAGCTTTAGTGTAATTCTTAAGGGCTCTAAAATCTCAGGATTTTTAGAACAGTAAACAAACACTGGCTTCAAGTCACCAGCTGCATCAGCCCCTAACAAGAGAGTCAGCCTGGTCCTTCGACGCTTTGAAGCCAGACATCAGCTTCTGCTCTCTAGCTATGAAAGTCCTAGGTGGCCTCTTCTTCCAAAAGAAGGCCGTTTTGCTTACATAGAACCTGCTGTTTAGTGTAGCCTCCTCTATTAATGATCTGAGCTGGATCTTCTGGATAACATGCTGCAGCTTCTACATCAGCACTTGCCACTTCACCTGCCAACTTTTATGTCAAGGAGACGGCTTCTTTCCTTCAATCTCATGACCCAACCTCTGCTAGCTTCAAATTTTTCTTCTGCGGCTTCCTCACCTCTCTCAGCCTTCACAGAACTGAAGAGAGTTAGGGCCTTGCTCTGGGTTAGGCTTTGGCTTAAGGGAATGTTGTGGCTGGTTTGATCTTCTCTCCAGACCACGCAAACTTTCTCTGTATCAGCAATAAGCCTGTTTCGCTTTCTTATCATTTGCATGTTCACTGGAGTAGCACTTTTAATTTCCTGCAAGGACTTTTCCTTTGAAATCACAACGTGGCTAACTGTTTGGCACAAGAGGCCTAGTTTTTGGCCCATCTCGGCCTTCCTCAATAAGTTTAATCATTTGTAGCTCTTGATTTAAAGTGAGAGACGTGCAACTCTTCCCTTCACTTGAACACTTAGAGGTCATGGTAGGATTATTAACTGGCCTAATTTCAAAATTGTTGTATCTTGGGGAATCAGGAGACCCAAGGAGAGGGAGAGAGACAGGGAAACAGCCGGTCGGTGGAGGGAGCAGTCAGAACACACACATTTATTGATCAAGTTCACCTTCTTATATGAGAGCCCCGAAACAACTGCAACAGTAACATCAAAGATCACCAATCACAGCCCGCCCTAACAAATAGAATAATGATGAAAAAGTTTGAAATATTGTTAGAATAACCAAAATGTGACACAGAGATATGAAGTGAGAAATGCTGTTAGAAAAATGGTGCCGGTAGACTTGTTTGATGCAAGGTTGCCACAAAACTTCAATCTGTTAAAAAAAAAAAAGCAGTATCTGTGAAGCACAATGAAGCAAAGTACAATGTAGTCTGTACCACATGTCAGCAAAGACCTGAAGGAGATAAAGGAACGAGCCAGGCAAACATCTGGGAGGAAGCCACTCCAGAAGAGCAAAGTGCCTGTGCAAAGCACTGATAAGATACAAGAATGCGTGTTTATGGTACAGTAGAGAGAATTCTGGCAGCTGGAGTGGAGAGAAAAGGGAGAAGGACAGAAAGAGATAAGGCCAAAGAGGCGGCAGTAGCCCAGATCATCCAAGATCCTGCATCCATTGTGAGGACTTTGGATTTTACCCTGAGCAGAACAGGAAGGTGTTAGAGGGTTAGGACGAGAAATGACCTGCTCTGCTTCGTGTCTGAAAGCCGTCGCTGACTGCCCTGGGGGAGCCAGGATGGAAGCAGGGGGTTCAGTTATGAGGCTCTTACAACAATTTGGATGTGAGACGCTGGTAGCTGGGGCCTTCAGGGAATCTTGAAGTATTTTACTCATTTCTGTCAATATCTACTGGCCTTTGAACTCTTTGAACCCAATAACTGGACTTTGTCTTTCTGATGCCCAGCACAGTCTAGAAGCTATTAGGCTTTTAGTAAACAGTTGTTGAGAAAAGGAAGAGAAAGAAAAAGAGAGATAGAAAAGGAAAAATTAAGAAGAGAAAAGGGGGAAAGAACGAATAGTTATTAGAGAGGCAGGAAAAAGAAAAGTCCAAATCTGGGAGGTCTTCTAACATGGTCTGTAAACAGAAAAACCATACAAAACTATAAACTTATGACTTGACTTCTGCAAATTGCCCAGAATATGTGCCACCTGAACATCTGTCCTCATTCTGATATCACAATGTCTTATACAGCAAAGGCACTACCCACAGCTCAACAGCTAAGACAGAGCAGCCAAACTGTCCTTTTCTTACCTGGAGAAGTTTGTCGTAACGCTCAGCAGACATCAGGAAACGTCCATCCTCAAGCTGCATCTCCCTGTTTTCCAGTAAATTGTTCAAAACAGGCAGAACATTCCTCTCTGCCTTTTCCAAGCCTTCCAAAACGAGGATTCTACCTTCTGTGGCTGCACGGACTGCACACTATATTTCCAAGAAATAAAAGCAATATTAAATGTTAAAGAAAAAGCAATATGAGAATATCGAACATAGCAGAACATGGCCCGAGTTTACTTTTAATGCAAATTAAACTGGGTTCTTCTCATAAGGACCAGGGATTAGGAAAGCTGGGTTCCAGATCTTGGATTTGCTTTATCTGCCAATATGGTCTTAACCTCTTATGATCATAACCATAGCCCTGTATAAGTCTTCCAAGTAAAGTTTAAGAAAATTAGAAATAGAGAAAAATAGGAACTAAAGTAGGCCCCAAATGGGGAGAAAATATAATACAAAAAAAGTGCTAAAGATGTGAAATTTTTTTTTCTTTAACTGATAGATGCTCAACAAAACAGAAAAATCTACTTTTTGGTCAAAATCCTTGAAAGTCTGGTTTAAAAAAAGAAAAAAAGAAAACCTCAATAACATTTTTTCTTGTACACTTAACAATATGATTAGGATTAATCTGCTAAATTTATTTTATCCCTCTCTCTTTAAAAGTCTCCTTTTTTGGTCTTCACGGCACTGTATTCTCTTAGAAAAACTTTCTCCTTTTCTGCCTGCCCATTCCATGTAGGTGATGCCAGAATTACATCTTTATCCCAAGCTATTCTTAATATACAAGGTCTGGCCTGAGTAATCATACTTAATCACGTAGTTCCAACCACCACTGCCACACTAGTGACTCCCAACTTCACGCTCCCCCGAGGTCTACCATATAGTCCCACTGCGTGTCTCCAACCAGACTCTGTAAGGCTCTCCTGGACAACACTGAACACATCGTATTTCCCCCCAAACCTGCTCTTCCTCTTATATTTTCTACTTAAGGTGAGAGCACCATTCACCCATGCCAGGTCCCAGATGTCTGTCTCTTCTCCTACGTTCAATTTATCACCATGTCCTGATGATTTAACTTCTTAAATATTTCTTCTCAACCCTTCTACCACTCCTCTAGTTCAGGCCTTCCTTAACCTCTCAGATCTCCTCCCTACTAACTCCAGGCTCCTTAAGTTAGCATATATGTCTAGCACAACCTGACATTTACCTAGCCGATATTTTACCTAGCTGATATTAGTTGCCTCGCATGTGGTATTTTTGCAACAATGAACTGGTTGTGATGTCCCCCTACGTGCGTATGTACCATACTGCTTTACTAAGAAAATCTGTCTGTTTATACTGAGCCCTTGTCAGTGTAGAACCACAACACTGAAGTTTTCCGAGCTCTAATACACCTGTTTCATCTTCCCAGCAGGATTCTTAGGTCTTGAAGGGGTGAGAACCCTGTTTTATTTATCTTATATTGATATAAAACTGGCTCATGGCAGGCTTTTAGTGTTTATGGGATAAAAATGTAACCGCTCAATTAAAAGATGCCATTATATAAGTTTTGGAAGAATTTTTACATAAAGAATAATAGTTATCTCTGCCCACACTTGTTATGAAAACAGAACTGAACATGTTTAACTGTCAGCATGAGAAATTTAGGTTACATATTTCAAAAATTTTCTATATAGATTTTTAAATAAAATAATTATGGTATAATTTTTCTTGTGAAATCTTAAAAAAAAAGGAAGTCATGCACACATATTTTACATGCAGTGAATACTTGTGATCCTTCCTCAGTGTGGAAATTAGACCAACCATAAGGATCTTTTCCTGCCCCTCAAGCTACAGAACTTTCAGAGACCTAATTTTCTCAAATAGAAATCAGAAAAAAATGCAGAAAGATCCTTCTGGACAAACCATTTCATATCACAGCTTTACCAACCCAACACATGGACACAAAGGATTTCAAGATAGAAGCAGCTGCATGACCTAAAATCAAAAACTGTCTAAGCCCTGTGCTAGATTTGCTTCTGATCTGATAAAAGACCTTAGGCAAACAATTAATCTGGATGTCTGTGTCCTCATTTACTAAATGAGAATATCCTCAAGGGGTATTGTACAATGTCACTATTTATGAATCAAAACAGCACTGAAAAAAAAATTTAAAGCTACCACACCTATTAAAATATAAATTGCTATTAATATAGCCATGATTTAATGAAAATTGATGCCAAAGAGTTTCAAATTACTCAAAAAGGCTACAGTGTAAAGCACTGAGGAAGCCAAAAAAAAATTACATATATATTTCAAGTTGTTTATTTAAAATACAAGAATAGGATCAGACTGACTTTTGGTTGCTCCACCACTGACCTGCTATGGGTGACTTAGGTTAGTCACTTTGCCTCTTGGAGCCTCCATTTCTTTCTAAAGCTACACTAGTAATGGTGCTTGTCTCATAGATTATGCTGAAATTAAATAAGACAACCTCTGGCACACAGTAATCCTTAAAAAACCAATAAGCTCTTAGTATTATGAATACTATTATCCTTGTAGTCATTGTCCCCATCGTCATTATCAAAGTTATCCTCATCATCACCATCATTCAGAGAAGTAGCATAATATGATGGAAAGAACCTAAACTTTGGAATTGGACATATCCTGGTTCAAATTCTGCCTCTGCTACTTATCAGTTGTATGGCCATAGTCCTCTAAGACTCCTACTTACTTCACCTCTAAGATAGGGAAGCCACCTCCACCCTAAGGATTAAATGTAGTCACATAAAGCAGCAGGTACAACAGAGGTCTCCTCAATGAAAGCTATTTTTATCTCCCTTGATTTTTTAAAATGAATTATGTAAATCTTTCAAACAGTTAACACATGAGTAGAGAAGAGTTGGCCTGAGCAAGATGGCAACAGGCTAAGGAGCCAAGGCCTGAGTTCTGACTAACAGAGGCCAGAGGAAATACAGAGAGACCTTCTCCCACTGTCCAAGTGACAATCAGGACATATTATAACAATATAGTTGCAAAGGGTTTGGTGCAGGTAACAGAATTCAGTCACTCTCAACAAACAAGTAAATGCTTTTTCCCCTATTTGCTAAAAGAAGTAAAAGGTACTTATACAAGATAAAAATCTCATCCTCTGATCAATATCACAGTTATTCAATATATTAAGAATTGCTTTCGGTAACCTGTATCATTAAAGCAGTGTATTAAAAAAAGGTTAATCTTTATTTTTTTTCTACTAATTAAAGAGAATCAAGAATAACCCAAAACAGAAGAGAATACATTAAAATATTATACAATTGTTTAAAGTGCATTTTATATATAATATTAAATATGTATATGGTACATTATGGAACTTCACAGTATTGTCAAACAAATCAACAAGATTCTAATGTGGAAAGAGCTCCTGGCTTAGAAAAGTTGAAAAAAATCATTTGAAGTTCCCCATCCTGCCTTTCTACTCCCCAAATTATCATGAGGATAGAGAATTTCCTCTCAGCCAGACACAAAAACCTAATCATAAATTTTTGTAGCTTACCTAACTTGTATCAGCTTATATTTGAGAAATGCAAGCAACGTATAATGACTTATAGGCTTCCTCTCCAGCTTTTTGGAGTCATGTGACAATAAGCAGAATTAATGATGAGAATGTCAACAAGCAAGGTAAGAAAAAAATGAGAGTAACAAATTCTTAAAGGGGTAGAATAGCAAAAATTTACGCTTTTTTAAGACAAATAAAGTTAACATGGTAGCAAAAAAAATCTTATTTCTTCATGAGCATCACAATATCAGTCATATATATGTTCATATTTCTGTTCTTTAAGTAATTCTTTTGAAACAGTTCTTATAGTCTGCTTAGCAAACCAAATGCATTAAAAAAAAAACCTTAAGTGACCTTCACATCAACAAGTGGATAAGTTATAGTAAATATTTACATAGACAAACATAGTACAAACGTCAACATTTGCTTGACAAGCTGTACCTTATTTATTTCATCAGTACCTCTCTCCTTTTCCATAGCCACTCAATTCATTGACATCTTACTGAAAACAATAGCCAGTAAACATAAAGACGATTCAAACTGGTCAGCATTTTTTAAAGCAAATTAAAGTCTATCAATTTGGCAAAGTACATACATGGAAATACTCAATGCTGACAAGAATCCATGAGGCAATCACTCAGTGCACACTGAAGAGGGTGTGAGCTGAACGCCCTTTTTGGAAAGTAATTGGCAATATGTGTATATCAAAACTCTTGAAAATGTCTAGACCCTTTGCTTAGTAATCATATTTCCAGCATTCAAGTCTAAAAAAATCACCAGAAATAATAAGATGTAAGTACAGAGATATTCACCAGAGTTATTTATAAGCCAAAGTGAAAACTTAGAAAGAGCCTGAATGACCAACAACATGGAAAAGTAGAAAAATGGGAATGTCAAATAAATAAGTCCATCTATCTGATGGAATATCATCTAGACACTAAAAGTCATATTTTTGAGGCATATCTAATGTCACAGGGGAAAAGCTCCTGATAAAATATCAGGTTAAAAAAAAGCAACATATTCGAGGAAATGTGTAACAGGCTTCATTATAATATTCATAAAATATTACTTTTGTTGGTAATCTGCACCTAAAAACCCCCTCTCAAAAAGCTGTAGATCCTGGAAGTATATATTTAACTTCACTATGTTTTATATACCCTTATGTACTTGACCTGTGGACTGAGAATACTTTAATAAATGTGCTATAGAATTGCTTATATTAAAATCTCCTTAATTCTTTTTTAAAAAAATCAAATTTCTATAGGCAAGTCATAGGAAGCGATTGAAAACTAAGAAATCAGCATATTGATCTTCAGCTAACATTTTAGAACAACCAATTTCAACTCTGGCTTCTTATTTAGTACTAAACTAAAAAGGCATTTCTGAGAATAGGGAAACCACAAACCTAAATTAAATCTGCCTAGAGAGAACACAGGACATCTATCTTTCACTCCCGCATGAGCTACTCTTTTTCTACTGTAAAAATCAATTTCTTATAGTCAGGGAGTAAACAATCACGTGTTCGAGGGTGGTAAGAACGTGCCTGGTCGATGTAAAAAGCCGTGCCTGCGCGGATCTCTCGACGCTGTTTGAGGTCTGTTTCGGTGGTGTCTCTGGACAAGGCAATGTATTCAACCTCCCGCTTGGTCAACTCCTGGAGAGCAGAGAGTGAAACTGTTTCAATAGAAAATCAAATCCCCAGCATATGCTTTGGAGCCAGTTATTTGACAATGTCACCCTACAGAAGAGCAGTTTGAATGTAATTCTGGATTATAGCCTTGAGGCTCAGCTTTGAGAAAAATGAAATAAATTGGGCATTAATCAAAATGTGTATGTATCTCTCCTCAGAGCTCTACTTTGACTGGACCCAATAATTTACAACTTAATTAGTTACTACTTAAGCAATAATAATTAAAATTGGATCTTATAAATCTTTAAGTCTCCGGTAGAATTCTTTTCAAATATCAGGAGTAATCATTTGGCGATTACTTGGTTTTCACACAAATGACAGTCATTTCTGTAAGCAACGTTCATTTTTTTTTAAAATGGTAATTTATTTTATTTAAAAAAATTTTTTCCTTGAGTTATTCTTTTTTGAGATGTTTTATTTTTTATTTATTTGGGGGTGGTAGTTTTTTTTTTAATGGAGATACTGGGGATTGAACCCACAAACTTGTGCATGCTAAGCACTCACTCTGCCACTGGGCTATACCCTCCCCCCCTTAAAAGGGTGATTTAAATTAATTTACTCCATGCACTAATGTTTACCAACTGTATACAATATGTTAGGTACTTTAACAAGTGTGAAAATGAGGTAACTATCAATAGTCGGGTCAACAGAAGAGAGAGAGAGAAACACAGACATAGCTATTCCAGAAAGAAAAGAAGAGAGATGAAAAAGAGTAGGGGGATGAGAAGGAATTATTCCAGACACAAAAGAACATTTGATTGGAAGGAGAAACCATCAAGAATCTATTTCTTTTAGAATAATTTGTCTATTTCTAAATTCATTTTGCCCTATACGTAACAACTATGTACAAAAAGTCTTGGTTTTACAATGTTTAATTAAAAACAATGACATTCTCCAATCAAATAAGGCATACAATATGTTTTTACTAAAAAAGGAGAACAAATTAATTTAGTGGGGGTGTATAAAAAAAAAGTTGAATGAATGTGCCAATAATGGTGAAAGGGGACATTTCCACATAATGGGATTTTTTTTTCTCCATCTTATCTATATGTGATGTTGATAAAAATATATTATTGGTGTCATTTCATTTTTTTAATGTGCCTGTTCCCAAGCACCCATAAATTTCAGTCTATCTGGAAAGAGTGCAAAATTTTTAAACAGAGAAAACAATACACCATAGTGGTGAAGATGTGATGATAGCAAATGATGTTTCTCTATGTAAGAATGAACTGTCTGTGAGAGCACAATTTTGGAGTCCAGTTGCAGGTTCTCTTTTAGCATATACCTCCTTCTGGCTTCTGGAACATATCACTAATGCCTTTCTGTCTTGTTTCATTGACTGGCTGAATATAATCTCCCTCACTGAAAAACCCTGTCATTTATATTGATTGACAAGGTGATATATGCCTCTTACTGTTAAATTGTACTGCAGTAACGCCCTAACTGACACACCAAGGATGTTATCCTCAGTCCTGACAGCTTCCTGGGACTCTTTATCAGCCAAGACAAGACCAGTGTCCTCAGCTGCTGCCTCACAGAAGTGGTTTGAAGCTCACAAACAGCATCAGGAATGGCAGATGGAGGCAGCGGCAGAGGTCTGCTCACATCTTTTTGAACTATCTCCAAAATTCCTTTTAAATGACTGAATATGAAATAAACACAACTATCAAATTACTTCTACTTAATTTCTCATTGGTTCAACAGGCTTGCCCCCAAATTTCTGCCTTTAAAGACATCATCTACTCTGGCTATTACTAAGCATAAGATCTTATATCTCATGGCAGTAGTACCCACTGCAGAGTTTGGAACGCAGCTTAGGTTAGTTAAGTTCTCATATGTGGACTTCCACCTGCTAGAGCTGCCTCAGCTCTAGTTCACAATTTAAAGTCTGGTTGTCGTTGTCTTTTTAAGATACAGGCTTTACACTTATAAACTTGTGTTGCATTTTTGAGCCAGCAAAACTCTTATAATCTCCCCATCTGGCTCTTTCCACATTCCTAACAAGCTTCCAAATCCTGCCAGAAACAAACTCAAAGTCAGATGCTGTGGCCTCTGAGATGAGCCAGGTAGAATGCACATCTTAAAATTAAAGAGGTCCTAGACCTGGGATTTTCGGTAGCTGACTCTGCATTCTTAGGCAAGACACTTGCCTTGTGTACTAATAAAGGGAGGATAACACTACAGTGGCACATTGTGCCTCACAAACTGATTCTAGGAACAAAAAATGTTATGAAATTTATGAGCCAGGGGGAGTTAGGTTCTTATCTGTCCATTGTATTTTTATCATTCCTGACCCCTGTGATTTTGGAAATACCAAAATAAATTCACCACTGAGATAAAAGAGTACATGAAGTATATTTCAATAGCATAGAAATCAATTTTTAATATCAAGTAACAAAAGGAAACTTTAAGTAAGGTTTCTCTCTTCATCCTAAAAAGTGTCTTTGGAACAGAACACCTTCATCTGATAGTGTTCTTCCTTGAATCCTTAGAGCAATGCCTATTAATGCTGACAAAGTAGGAGGAAAAAAGTCTGGAAATTTTTTTTATTTGGGTTGAGATTTGAATATTTCAACTCACTTCACAACCATACTCAGAGAACATCAAACATTTAAGAAGATAGCATGTCAGAAAGGGGGAGCAATAAGAGATTTGAGGTCTAGCTCCATCACTTACTCGCTGGATAAAGCTTGAGTGAGTTATTTAATCTCTGTGAACTCATTTTCTCATCTATTTAAAGAAAAATAAAAGAGTTCACGTAACACATAAGAGAGATTCTAGAAACCCTGGGTTCTCTTTAAAGATTATATAACATCAAAAAGTCAGAATTATTTGGCTTTTCAAAATGTGGACCAAAGATAAAATAATGTTTCCTGAGTAGTATAAAATTATGTTTTGTTTTGTAATCTCAGAGTTGCTGATTCCATCTGCTAATCATTGCCTGAATTTAAGTGGATTTCTTTCCTACTGGAAGTGGAGGATTTTCTACTCACAGCAAAAATTTGCTTAAGATATGAAAGGCAAATGTACATTTATTTCCCAAATAACATATTCCAGACGCTTTATAAATAAATCACCCGTCAACGTCAACATTTTTTAAGTAATGACTCATCTTGATATTTTGGTAAATTCTTAATTGATTTTTCAAAATAGCTTATCAAAGTTAAGACCCTTAGGAATCCACAAGAACTGACTGCTCACCAGGTACTGCATAGCAATAGAGCGTCGAAGAGGCCCAGGAGGTCCTATTAGAAAAACATCTTGTCCCAAAAGATCCTTCTGCATTATCCATCTTAGATGTTGAATTACAGATTGAGCCAGCGAGTCTGAAACTTTAAGGTGGAAAAAACGTAAAATGAAATGCAAATTAGGCTTCTACATGTAATATAAATCTCCAAGCAAGCAATGCAGATAGTATATTAAGTTTATATATGTATATATGAATGTGTATGTATATATATACCTATGCATATATACACATGCACACATAGACACATATACACTCATATATACATCTGGTGAATCTTGACGCTGTTTACAATAAAACCATTGTTACCTAATGTTAAAACAGGACAAACTTTCATACATCACCGTCTCATAATCTCACATTTAAAAACTTGTGAGAATGCTTAAATCACCACCTATTAGTGTCACTAAAGGAGTGAAAGTGATTTTCAAGGGTATATAAGCAACTAGGACCATTTCTTTGCCACAATTTTATAGCCCAACTCTTTTGTTCTAAAAAGGGAATGTGACTGAATCATCTCAAGCAATTAATGATTATCAGAGTCTTGAAAAAAATTTTTTTAAATTATAACTTACGTAGGCAATGGGTTGTGAGAGCTCTCAAATTTCAGTTTGTGAAAGTTTGACGCAGGTTTAAGGGACTTAAATGATTTCTTTAGAATCGAGGTCTGCTCTTCTCCACCAGCTCTCTTGGGAATAGAAGACTACTCCATGTAATACCCTTCTAAGCCTACCATTAAATCACCCATCAATCCACTCATCTTTTGCCTAAATATTTTTTGAATGTTTATATTAATACAATGCATCTATGTTTGCTCACTTGTAAGTCACCTAGTGACTCAGCAAGTGCTTTCCCAGGTATACAAGAAAAACTCAGCCTTATACGCAGAGACATACAGAATACTCAGAGAAGTGTCATTCAAAATAAAAATAAAACTGGAGACAGGAGGTGGATAAAATGTACATGGTGGGATATTATATAACCAAAAAAAAAAAAAACCCCAAGAATAAAGTACCACTTCTTCCAACAACGTGTTTAACTCTGAAGAGGGCAAAAAAATGGTCACAAAATAAATCGCATATTAATGTCACTGTTTTGATAATGTTCAAAAAACTAGCAAATTGAATTCATTACAAATACATACAGATGTGATGAAACAGTGCTTGAAAAAGCAAGCGGATGATAAATTCAGGACACCTAGATGTGAAATCAGAGAGATTCTCACGGATAACTTAATGGTATTCATAATAGTCTAGTTCTTAAACTGGATGTGGGCACAGAGCTGGTTTTATTTTCAGTTGCATTTTATACATAAACACACACACAATATAGATATATATGTATATGTATGTATATATGTGTATGTATATATGCATACATACATATATATATAATATAAAAAGTCTTTTGTAGGTATTGAATGTTCTATATTTAAACTTTGTTTAATCACCCAGTAAGGTCATGAAAGCATTAAAAGGTCACACTAAGAATACTTGCCTAGGAGTAAAGCTGTGCTTCCCCTGTCCCTTACCAACAACGTAATATTGCTAGGGTGGCTCCCCACCTTTCCTCTCAGAAGTTAACATCTAATCACTGGGAAAAAATTAATTTCTGGTTTTCTTTATCATGGTGGGAAGATGAAGGACAAGGTTTGGGCAGACTGGTTCGTTTGTCACATCACTGGGGTCACACTAAAGCATTTTATAACTTCTCCCAGGCAAGTCCTTCCACATCTGAAAATGAGGAGACTCATCACCCAAGTGGTGCATGGCTTCTCTCCTGTTCTATGAAGCTTCTACAACATGCATGGGGGCATATCACCTCCAAGGGGGCAAAAACTGAAGGAAAATTCCTAGATATTACAAATGGTCCATTGCCCCCTAAAGGGACACTATGCATAAACAGATATAGAATATATCTACGGTATTGGAATTTCATGGGATTGGGGAGAGACAACTGGGGGGAAATGTCCTTGGGAGAGCAACAATGATAAACACTGCCCCAAGACCCTCACCTCTGAGACTCTCTCAAGGAGTTCCACAATGCTGGGAAGCAATTCATCTGTGCTTGGAAAGTCAACCTCATCCCTAACTATCAGATGTCGACTTAACCATTTTCTTTCCCACTCCAGGCTTAAATCTTTGAACTATATGGTCTACTCTTATTTCTACGTGAGTCCATCTGCTTGCTGTTTAAGTTTGAAACAAAACAAATGTTAAGAAGCTCTAATTTCTCTACCAGTAAAATTACAGTGTTCCCTATGCTGCAGATCTGCTACCTCTTCTTACTGTGAGATCAAATATATAATTTAAAACTTACACATTTCAGGCTTTTTCTTCATATTTTCACAAGCCTCAGTTTACTTTGGCCACAGGCCTTCTCTACACTCCTCTTAGGGTTTTGTGTTGCTTCTTTGTATTCACCTTTGGCAATTTGCCTGACCTTCCATTACCTGGATTTGACTATTTAAAAGATGAAGTTTCCAAAGTTCTATAAGGCAAAGCCAAGTTGGTCTCTTCGGTTTCCTCCCACCTTTTATTATTCATAACTATTTGTAACTATCCATAATGACAGAGTCCCAATACAGTTCCATTCCATTTTGAACGCCTTGACCTTGGGATTCACTGATATTTATTTTCAAGATTTTTTAAAATTGAAGGCAGCATTTTCGAATCAAATGTGAGGCCTTCCCTTCACAAGCTGTCGGTGTTAACAAAGTGCTAAAGTTTAGGAATAACTTATCTTTTTCTTAGCAAACTGAAGGAGAATCAAAGTTATAACAACAGAGCAGTCTGTACACCAGTGTACTTTCCCGGGTGGGAGAGAAAGGCGTGGAGACGGACTTTGGAAAGCTGGAACCCTGGGAATTGTGTAGAATTTTGAGTATGCTCGTGGGAGTGTCTTCCACTCAGCATGATCCGCGGGTGTTGAGAACTACTGGCCTGAGGCATTTTGAATAATTCTCAGCAATCCCTTCTTTCACTCCTACCCCTCAGCCGTGGTTCTCAACCAATGGCAGTGCTTGCCATTACTCCATGCCTGCCAGAGGCATTTGGGAACATCTGCCACTGTATTTCAATTCTGCGGATGATGCATAAGCAGTTTCCAAATCCTGTGGCTGGCCTTGTGGTCCATGTTAGACCTTCACAAAGCCCTTTTCTTTTCCCTTCTCTTGTCGTCCCTTAATAACAGTAATAATGATAGCCATAATTTTTTGCATTCCTGTCATATGTCAGGTAATACGAATGATTTTTCACGCAATATCTCATTTAGATCCCACAATCATCCTAGAAGGCAGCAGACTACAGCATGTAGTCTGTAGGTGATACAGACTCGAGCCAAAGTCTTTAAACCCCAACTCTCCTGTTTACTGTGTAAGCTTAACCAGTTATTTAAATTCTCCATCCACATAATGGATATGATAAATGTGCTTATTTATAAGGCTGTTATGATGATTAAATTAGGCACTTAGAACAATGTCCAGTAGTAGCATAAGCATTTGTTAAATAATCATTATTCCTGTCTTATGAATAAGAAAATAAAAGTTCTTATGGTAGTATCATTTGTCCACAGTTAAAAAGCACATAAACCAAGATTTAGACTTAAGCTGTTTGAGTCCAAAGCTTGTACTCTAGCCATTATGCCCTATTACCCCTCCAAAACCTTTTTAACAGGCTCTATCTTCAGGTCCAAGACTTCCCCTCCAAGTCTGAACCTCACAAGACTCCGTCAAATTTAGTGAATTTGCCTTTATGGATATTAATTCTATTTCTTGGGTTTTGGTGATCCCAACAATACCATGTTTTACTCCTTTTATTAAAATTTCAAATTCATTTTGTTGTTTATGTTATCAGAGAACCCACATCTCAAAAAAAAATTCCCATTTTTATTTATTCACTTTTTTAGTATAGGGTATTTTGTCAAAGAAAATATTTAATTTGTTAGGAAGTTGCACTGAACTACTGAGAGGAAGCATTATGTACTGCTGTGTGGTGTCTGTGGTGTATTTTACATTAATGCTTGAAACTAGCTGTATTTTTAGGATGGCCTCAAGAAGACATGAGTCATACTTTAAAGTGTTCCAGAAATAGAAACAAGACATAAGACTGTACATTATGAACATCTGCAAAACAACCTGCCAAACTGCTGTGTGTAACCTATAAACACAGCCCAGTGCACGAGAGAAGTCCCCAACCTCAGCATTTGCAGGCACAAGATGCTGTCTTCCAGGAGTCCGCATAATGACGAGCTGATGTCAGAGTTACACCAGAAAGCTTGAGTCTATAGTCTGTGATTTCCTTCTCTATGTGAAAGTAAAGCATGTGGTTCATGTTGGGCTAAATTCCTTATTCAATTCCTAGCCAATGCTTGTTTCAGGCATATTCAAGGGCTTTAAAATAATTCTGTTAAAGGAAAATAAATTATAATTTATTATAGACTCAAATATGTCATATACGTAAAGATTAAAATGAAAATTTCAGGAAATAATACAAAGTTCAAATTCAGTTATAATAAATCTTTCAGTGGTAGAGAGTGTCCTTAGTAGGCACAAGGTCCTGGGTTCAATTCCCAGCACCTTCATTAACCAAAAAAAAAAAGAAAAGAAAAAGAAAGAAAGTTAAAAAAAAATCCTTCTAAACTAGTGACATTTTCTTATTAGCCCAAGAGGCAACATAATATAATGGAAAGAAAAAAACCTCTGAGGCTAAACAGACCTAGTTGTGATTTCTCATCCTGTCCTTTATCAGTGTCCTTGGATAAGTGTTCTGAATCTTCTGGGCCTAAGTTTCCTTTTTTTTCAAAAGAGGGATAGTACTGCTTACTGAGTACAGTTATGGTGGAGACTGTAGGTGGAGCACCTGGTCCAGCCCCTCAGCCAGTGGGAACTAGGTATGGAAGGACATTACAGGCCTTCCACACCCGCACAGTCCTCTCCCTGGTGCACACCCAGGACAGCAGGCTGCACAGTACGGTTGTGAATGAGTTCCTGGGCTTACACTCAAATCACCGTCTGGACCTAGATCCCATCCTGAAAAAACAAAGCAGAAAGGAACCTGCCTAACTGGTACAGCTTGTAGTAGGCCC